CACAGGCTGGTGTGCTTCTTCCATGTGGGCTTTGTTGCTTCTGAGCTAGATGGCTGCTTGTCCATGTTTTTGTAGAGTTCTTTCTAATTAAGTTCTACTAACATTCTCCACCTTGAGTGTGCCGTCCCTTACCTATTGTTTCCCTGACTGACATAAGGCTTTGCTGAGGTGGTAGAACAGTTGATATTGTGTTTCACATTTGGTCCTTGGCAAATGATGTTTGTCAAGTGTCTGTGAAATGAATAACAGACCAAAACACTTGAGTGGCAAGATCAAAATTTCAAAGCTTCTCCAAACTTCTAATGTATTGATGAGCAGTCACAAATGAGATAGAAATTCTTGATGTACTCTCAGCCCAGTAAACAGGCACAAGTTATAGGGCTCTACTTTTTGGAGTTCTCCGCTTCCATGGATCCACCCTACTGCCTCATGCCCACGTGTCCTCCTTCCAAAAGGAACATGATGGTTGAGGTTGTGTGTCAACTTGGCTGGGCCATGATTCTTAGTGGTTTGGCAGTTACAATGTAATTTGGCAATCATGTAATAATGCAACTCAGTAGTTATATAATGAGGTCGTTATCCCCCATTTTGTCATCCTATATAATGTAATCTTCATGATATAATCTGATATAAATAATCCTCTTCATGATAAAATCTGCTATGAATGGCCAATCAATTGTAAAGGAGTTTCCTCAGTGTTGTGGCTTATATGCAATAAAAATGGACTATCTGCTAAAGCTTCTGACTTTTTTGCTCACTTTGGATCTTGCGTCCAGCTCATCATTATCTGATCCCCGGTTCTTGAAACTTGAGGCTGCTATATTGCCTGCGATCTGATCTGCTGATCTTGAGTTCATCAATGCAAGTCAGGAGAATCCTCCATTGTGACATCGGGCTCATGGACTTGAGACTTTCCAACTTATATGAGCCATTTCTGTGAGAGGAATTTCTTTATAAATACATATAAATATGTAAGATTCACTGCTTTTGCTTCTCTAGAGACCCCAGCCTAAATAAAGCACACTATGAAAGAATATAAAGAACATTTGAAATATTCAGAAACTCTAAGAACACTATGTCCATCAAATGGAAAGTCAGGTGATTTTCTTTTCAACATGTGAAGACCACAAATTACAAAATCCATATTCCAAAAATTCCACTTGTTTATGGTGTTAAAAAAGTACATTAAATAAATTCAAGCTATAGCTTCCAGCTATAATTTTTAAAATTTTCATGTGATCTTTATTCTAATTAATATTGTCTTAATCATCATAATATTATTATACAAAGAGGTAAATTTTATATAACTACCTTAGAATTATGTCGGTGGTTACTAACAAATTGCTTGGTAACTGTAGTTCTGCTGTCTGCAATGGCTCTTGATATTTATTATAATCAAATTTATGATAATTAAATTTCTACTGTGCAGCCATTAGAAGAACCCCTTCAAATCATGAGATGTGATCTGTGACTTGCAAATCTCTAGGGATAGTCAATGTATCCCTTTGGAAAATGGCTTCCTGGGTGAGGCTCAGATAAATACCATGCAGAACAGTCAAAGGCTCCCCCACATTGCCTATACTTAAGGGAGTTCTCAGTTGGTTTTAAATTTATCCATATTATAACTCTTTAAGTTTAGAAATTCCATGAACTTTCTTCCCGGGTTTCTCAGAAGAAAAGCAACCCAGGGAATATTTCCATAATATATTTCTTCTTGGCGAAGGGCTCCCCCTTTGATGATCTCCAGCGCACATTGGTCTTTCGGAGCTGGACCTGAGGCATCATCATATATTCCAGAAATTGCTTTCATGGCTGTTTCTGTAGAATAACAAGGGAAGCGTGAGGTTATAAAAAATTAATACAGTCTAGTCTACGGAAGGCTTGTAGATACCCAGAGCATAGGTGCCAGGCTGTCTGCCAGTATGTACTTGTCATGGGAAGGAACACATAGAAAAGATTGGGTATATTCAGGATTTATGGAGCAATGTTAACACAGGTTACTTTCCCAGACGAAGATTTGTTGGAGGAATTAGAAGTGATTGGTTGGGAGATTTGGACCATGTTCTCTTTGGTTCTTTGATTGGGAGATATATGGAGTTCAGAACGAAGATGAACAGGTCACTAATGAGAAGAATCAGTGGGCAAAACAGAATGCTGCATGATAATGACTTGTCACAATTTAGGAAAGGAAGAGATGTACAAGAATCTTTGTCAACATTGGTCAGATTATTTGAAGGTATTTAAGACCACCCTCCATCCTTTCTTATCTCTTTCTGTGACTCTTTACTTCACTTTCATATGTGTATTGCTATTGTTTAATTTCCACCTAAATATACCTGCTCCACGGTAAACTCGTATCTGGACTAACAGACTAATTGTAGAAAGTGTTCCTTTAGATCCTTGATCCTGCTCCCCTTCATCTTAACCTCATACACAAGCCTTATGTATATGAGGTAAAGTAAAGTAACTAGAATATAGATTCGCTCCTCACTCTAATGCCCCCGTTCTTCTCTAGGACCCTATTCAGGATTGTGCTTATTTATTTGTCTCCTCCTAACTGTGACAGTTTTCTTAGTCTTTCTCTCTCTCCCAGCCTTGACACTTTTGAAGACTATGGATCAATGTTTTGTAGCATGTCCCACAGTTTGGGTGTGCCTGGCGTTTTGTTATGATTGGAGTGAATTCGTGCCACTTTTGGCAAGGATGCTCAACCATGTTGCTGTCCTCAGTATATCCTATGTCATATGTTCTCGTCATATAATATTGATATCTATAGTGCTGTTCATGTTTTTCAGAAAAATCACAGCTTTATATTTGGTATGTCTCATATATTAACATGAATGGCCACTGAGTGTCCATAGGACATAGTTGTTCAAGAGGGTGAGGTGATGAGTGTCATGTCATCTGATCTACTCAGTGGTCAGAATGGAACAGAGAGTCAAAGAATGGTTACAAGTCCTACTAATGACAGAAGTCCTTCATTAAATGAGAAGATTGGTGCTTTCTCTTGTATTTTTAGTGCATTGCTCATGAGTCACAGAGTTCAGTACCTTTCTTTCCTCACAGTGGTAAGGCAAGAAATTAATTTCCAGTCATTTAATTTGCAATGTCTTGACATTACCTGTGTTGATGAGGCCAAGGAAACAGAGAGTGATTGACACATTAACTTTGGTTATTGAATATTCTGTCCTGATGGAAGAGAAGAACCCATCCAGAGCAAACTTGCTTGCAGAATAAGGAGCAATCAATGGATTAGCCATTTTCCCTACATAACAGATGAAAGAAATAGGTTAGCAAGATGACATACTTGAGCTTCTGAGCGAACTGGTCATTGTTATGTCTGTAGCAGGTTTTACAATGCCTATGGAGTCCTTTTCTTTGTTTGACTCTTAATTTCTCACTATTCCCTATGGAGATAGTCTTTCTATGTTGAATTGCTGAAAGGAAAAAAAAATGATTTAAGTCCTGAAGAAACTCTTCTCACAGAGCCTGGGTGGGTTTTGGTGCAAACTTTTTGAAAAAGGATTGGCTACATTTGAAGTAAATGTAAATAAGCTGGGCAGCAAACAAAAAGCCACGTGATTGCATAGCTTCCAACCCTTCCACTTCTGACCCAAGACAGCTAGTGATCTATGGGTTGGGCAAGAACCTTTTGCCAATGCAGTGATCTGTCATTGATAATGGAGAGGTTATGCTTCAGTTCCCACACACAAAAAGATGATAATGCACGTCTTTGTGCAATCTTTAACCTATTGTTCTACCCAAAGCACTTAAGAAATAGTTTCACTGGCATATAAATCACATATCATAAAATTCAATAGTAATATCATATGAAAAAGAGTTGTGGAATTATCACCACAATCAATTTCAGATCATTTTCTTCTTTCTTGTACACGTTGTTGGCTATGCATGTCCCCCCAATGTCTCCTGGGAAATTATTAATCCAGTTATGATCTCTATAGATTTACCTGTCCTGGGATTCCTATACAGAAAAACATACAAAACAAAGACAAAACACAAAACAAAACAACAACAACCCACCAACCATGACAAAATAAAAGAGGAAAACCACAACAGAAAAAAAGCAGAAAATATTAAAAACTGGAACAAATGTAAAATGGGTCAAAAGGGAGATCAAATAATGTGTTACACTTTAACCTACCTACATCGGCCATAATTGACCTTAGAATGCTCTCTGTCTGACAAGAAGGCTATTCACATACCTGAACTATGGCTCGAAGGGATCCATGAAAGTCAGAAGGAATTAAAGGAGGCTTAATCCATGTGGGGTTCCTGCATATGAATTTTGGGCTTTCACTGTCATCCATAGCCTTCTGCAAACCAGGCTTTCAGATTTTAAGCTCTAACACCATTCCCTACTCTGGATTTGGATTTTATTATTTAGAATCCTTGGATCACATAAGCTGGTGTGCTTCTTCTGTGGAGACTTAGTTCATACCTCCCTTAGACCAAAGAAATTTTCTTTACTGATTTGAATAGTATTCTCCCCACATTCATACCCACACAGAACCTCAGAATGTGATTTTATTTGAAATAGGGTCTTTGCTCATGTAATTAATTAAGTTAGGATGAGGTTATACTGGATTAGGGTGATTTCCAAATAGGACTATATCCTTAAAAGAATATCATGTTAAACAACAAGCTGAAGCCAGGCAACTGCTCCCAGAGCATGTATTGTTCTAATCCTGTCCCCTAAGTGATAAGGGATAGAGCCTGTCTAGTATCCATGAAATATGTATCACCCCCACTAAATGTACATCTTAAAACCCTCTTTGACAGAGGAGACCTCACATCAGTTGGGGTCACTTTTTCAAGCTCTGGGGAGGGAGAGGAGATTATCTAGTTGCTGCCATACAAAACTTTGTCAAGGTCATCCCAATCCAACAGACAGTTCCAGTAGGGAAAAAAAGCTTAACAATACTTACGTGGAACGCAAGGGGAGACTATGCCTGCTAATAGGTTCTTAATTGGACACTTTTGACCTAGTTCAAGGCCGACAACACATTTCATAGGCCACACCAGAAGGACCTGAAGTGGAAACCCCACTAAGTGAACTGGGCTTTATCTGAAATTCACCTGTCCCCATTGGACTTAAGGGTGAAACTCCCTCGTGTGAGAAGAAGCAGGAGATTACCAGACCAAAGGGCATAGAACTGGTGGACCTTGGACTTTGGTTCCATTTTTTTGCCTTGAGGGTGCTCAATGAATGGTAGCTGGGAACTACCATATACTTACTATTTTAATATCACACTTGCTTCGTTATGACATGCATTTATCTGGTTGGCATGGTTCTGCTGTTGTGAATGAATATTATTGGAAGTTTTGCCCTGTCACAAACTCTGCTGTTTGTGTAAAAAAAAAAAAAGAGTTCCAAAATTAATTGGGCTAATGATTGTATAATTATTGATATGATTGAATTATTGAATTGTATGGTATATAGATTTTGTGCCAATAAAGAAAAAAAAAAGATTTGTGGGCTCAGAGACTCACAGGGGCAGTTCTACCCTGCCCTATAGGGTCGATCTAAGCTGGCATTGACTTGATAGCAGTGGAAGTGATGCCCCACGGGGATGATTGATAATGTTCTCTAATATAAAATGACAATGATGTCTCTAAGGTGAACGAGACCTATCTAAACCATGAATGGATTTTGGGTTTGGACATAATTCTAACCCTAATCTAAGAATACTTAGTTCTATGACATGGACCTGCTTGGTGCTCAACCTTAGAAAGAGATCACTAAAGATAAGGGTGCTATAGCAAAGTGTGGTGAAGAAACTAGATGGTGCCTAGCTATGAGAAAGAACAGTGTCTAGGTTCTCAAATGCTTGTTTTCAAACCAGTAGACAAGTAAGTGAGGTCTCAACTAAGTCCACATTGAAGAAGCACACCAGCCTATGGGATGAGAGGATTGTAAATAATATAATCCCAATCTAAAGGAGTGAATGGCGTCAGAGTTTAAATTGTGAACTCCTGGTTTGCAGAAGGTTATGGATGACCGTGGAAGCCCAAAATCCATTGCGGGGTCCACACATAGATTTATTTACCCTCTCGTGAATTCCCTCTGATCACAGTTGAAGGATGTGAATATTCATGGTATCAGACAGAGAGCACTGTAAAGTCAATAATGCCATACATAGGTAAAAATGTAATGTCTTATCATTTTATCTCCCTTTAGACTTCCCTTTATTTTTAAAGCTGTTTAACTTTAAAAAAAAAACGTGAAGGGAAATACACATGGATTAAATCTTGGTGGATCTCCTCTGACCATGGACCAGGGATGTGAATAGCCTTGCTAACATACAGAATGCAATGGAAAGTGGATTGTTGCAGATGCAGTTACCTTACAATTTAATAGCCTGGATTTAATCTTCCTTAAGATCCATTTAAATTTGTTCTAGTTTTTAATATTTTCTGCTTTCCTTTTGATTGAGGGTTTTCTATGTTTTACTTTATTATCCTTGTTAGTTTTTGTTGTTTGTTTTAAAATGGTTTTTTCCTTTCTGTATATGAAATCAGCATAGTTAAATCTTTAGAAACAGTAACTAGAAATGGTTCCTTAGCAGTGGGGCTGGGGAGGTTGGGGAGAAATTGGGAATTAATAATGAGTACAAGATTGAAGAAAATGTTATAAGATTGATTTTAGTGATGATTGTACAACTCCTCTTGATATGCTTGAATGATTGAATTGCACGATATGTGAATTAAATATCAATAGAACTGTTGGGGACAGAACAAGAGAGAGGGAAGAGCAGAGGTGTGAAGCACAGAAGGAGTTGGGTTACACAGTAGTGTATTATGGGGTTTGCAGTAAAGGAGATGGGACAGCACAACAACAATACAAAGCATATATCATGTGAACATAGCCATACAGACACACAGATCTACAGCAGGGAAAAATCCGCGTGAAAATGGGGGCAGAGACTGAAGTAATGCTGCTACAAGTCAAGGAATGCTAAGGACGACCGTCAACCACCAGAAGTTAAGAAGAGACAAGCAAGGATTCTTCACTAAATGCTTTCAGAGGGAACCTGCTGAAACCTTGATTTTATGCTCAAACTCTCTAGATTTTTTTAAAGTCACTCAGTGTGTGGTTCTTTAATACAACAACTCTGGGAAATTAATACACTTACTTTTCCCAGTCTGGTAATTTTGGAGGGCACATAGGCATATTCCTAAGAAGAAACAAGCCTATTCATACCCGTCTCAAGAGGAGGGAGAAGTGGCTTGAGACCTTGGACCCTTAGCTGTTATAATAGTTTTTTTTTAAAATACTGGTCCTTTCATTACAAAATCTAGGTCAGTTCAAGATTGGTCTCCACTGATTGACAATGGAGCTGCCATACTAAACCTGTACCGAACTATTTTTGAAATCCATTTACCTGAGAAACATACTTTTGATTTGTTTAATTTACTGTTACTTTTGGTTTTCTGCATCTCACAGCTAAATCAAATACTTTCTTATAGTCATTTTCACCTCTCTGCAGCCATGGGCCAAAGGGAAGCTGACAAATATAGGCATGTATATATGGAAATATATAAATATATAATGATAGGGATATAGGTCTATGCACATTATGTTAAGTATCAAGGTAGCAGGTGGACATTGGTCCTCTACTGAAGTCCTCACTCAACAAAAGAACACTTTGTTCTAAAAACCTGGCATTTTGTGATGCTTACCTTCCCAACAAGTTCACTGAAGTCAAAATGGATACATAAGCAAATGTGGTGAAGAAAGCTGATGGTGCCTGGCTATGAGAAGATATCATGTCTGGGGTCTTAAAGACTTGAAGATAAATAAGCAGCCATCCAGCAGGGAAGCAACAAAGCCCACATGGAAGAAGCCCACCAGCCTGTGGGATCATGAGGTGTCAACGGGATTAGGTATTAGGCATCAGAAGACCAAAAACAAATGATCATATAGGTTCTAACAAGGGTGGGTCACAGTGGAGACCAATAGACCATTTGTTGACAATTGGAAATCTCAGAGAAAGGTCACAAGGAAGGGATGAGCCAGCCAGGGTGCAGTATAGCACCTACAAAACACACAACATTCCTCTAGTTCCTTAATGCTCCTTCCGCCTCCACCATCATGACTGTGGGAAACAAGCCAGGAAGAGAGTGTATGGGGACAAACTCTCAGCATTCATACATTCAGGAGACTGGGAGGTCAAGGCTCCCATGGAGGAAACCTTCAGGTTTGTGGGTTGGAATGGTGTCCCAATCACATGCTCCAAAGTAAAA